TGACGCAGACCTTGTTAATCCGGGCGACGTTCAAGCCGGCATGACTCTCTTAGTTCGTGCCACTCTCATATTTTGAGGTAGGCAGGTGAAGCATTGGGGGGGCTTTGCCCAAGGACCCCTACTGGTAGCGTAGGTACCAGCCGGGATTTGAACCCCGGTGTTCTGCATCAAAGGCAGTGCTCTAACCACTACGCTATCCAGCCACTACACACACACACACACACATACACACACACACACATATACACACACATACTCGGAATCATTCCATTTCTGGAGGAATGCTATTTCCTTCCCTGGAGAAATTCTGTAAAACGTCTCTCTATATACACATAAAAACATAAGTAGTGCTGATTTTGGCATTTTGTTTTGATGTAATGTTAAGTAGCTGCTAACTGATGTCTAATTATTTTCTACTTTGATGGAAATATTTTTAAAATATGTAGAAATAATAGTTTGATATAATTTTATTACCCCATTATGGAGAAAATCAAAAGAAAACAAAACAAAATCTGTATCTCATTCCAAGCAACTATAAAGTCCATATATATCCACATCATTTTTTCCAACTGTATTTTAATTTTTGTAGTTTATCATAAATCCTTGACCTCTAATTACTCAATTCATTGGATGAATCTGAATAATTTAATTTGAGAACTCAACTGCTCACCTATATAAGCCATGCTTTTTGGATGCCTGAATTTAAAAGAATTTAGAAATCTGGATACCAAAGCAAAGACAAGCTTAGATCTAAACATCATCAATAAAATATTCTAGCTTGTTTTATTTAGACACTTGTATGTAACTTTCCAAACTATCTATTTTTATAAATATTCTCTTTTTTTGTAGTTAGCCAATTTAGAAAAGCTAGGATAGAATTCTTAAAATGAGATGATGAAGTTCTATATTATTGGCAGAACATCCTACATTGTTGAACAAAGTCCAATAGGGTTGAGGCTTGCCCCTTCTTATTAAAGTTGAAGGAGTTCAGAACTTGTCCTTTTATCCACATTTATTATCTCCTGAAGTCAAAAATTCAAATTCAAATTCCAGACATCTGTATTGTAATTTGAGTTGAATCTCTCATAACATTGGATGTTCAGTCATTACAGAGTCAGGCAAGTTACAGGTGGCAACTAGTTTTATTTCAATAGAAAAAAAAGTATCTGGAGATAAGACTTTGAACCACAGTTAGAAGGATTAATTACTTTAGAAGCAAAGACAGTTTCTCTGCTGGAGGCGGCTTTTTAAGGTTAGCACTTCGAGTTACAGGAGCAGCAAATATGCCAGCAGCCTTCTTACAAGCAGTGGCATACCTAATATATTTGACACCTGGAACGAATCATTTTTTAACACCCCACCCCTCTGTTGCTGAGAGCCAGTTTGGTGTAGTGGTTAAGGCACCAGGCAAGAAATGGGGGGACTGTGAGTCCTAGTCCTGCGTTAGGCACAAAACCGGCTGGGTGAGTTGGGGCCAGTCATTCTCTCTCAGCCCTAGAGAGAAGGCAAGGGCAAGATACTTCCGAAAAAATGTTGCCAAGAAACCTTCAGAGGGCAGTTACCAGGAGTCAAACTGACTTGAAAGCATTTTTTCCCCCTGCATTGCTGCTGTGCTGCACTGATCACCAACTGCTGACTCTTGTAGCCTCTCTGTCATCTTTGGCAGCACCACCCTTTATTGCTTGCCACTCCTTTTTTTATGCGTGTCGCATGTGCAACTCATATAAACAAAGGACTGAGGCTTTGATCAAGTGGTTGTGGTTTCCACCTTGACTTTTTTGAACCCCTGTGAACACCCCTAAATTATATGGGTGCACTGTGGGAAAAAGCAAAAGTAATAAGGGCATACCTATTATCTGAAAAAATACAGACAGATATAAGGGAAACAGCAGAATTAAATTTGCTCAAGCAATTTCTGAATGTTATTAGATGTCCTAATTTGTGAGCATTTGTCCTATGCTGAAGGCAGTGTGAAATGGCTATACTGCAATTGCCATTGGTAATTACACCAAATTGGTGTAATATTAAGCTGTTTTTGTTGCTGCATTTCAAGCACTATTAATAGGCGGCAGACAGATAAAATAATTATGAAATGAAGACTAGATTGAAATAAGCAATAGAGAGTGATAAGCTTCAGAAAAATTAGCTATTTTACTCTGTAGCAGAAAACACTGTTGCCAGAAACTGTGGCATCGTGAGCTCTGCTGGCTAGTTTGGGGCATGAGGCAGAAACCATCTTCATTAGCCACATTTGTCTGAGACAGCCTGTCTCAAGTGGGATTCTACAAGCCCATAAGGGATTGGGACTGAAAAAAAAACATTGTTTTTTGAACTTCACTGTGAGCCTTTCTCATAGCGGTGGGAATTTTTATGCTCTGTGACTCAGCTGCCAGCCTGCCGCTTTGCTGTTGTAAATGTTGTAAAACATGGATTATATAGGTTAGAAGTGAATTGTATTGTGAAGTTTTTATATTTTTTTGCAATTCTAATGCAGGGTTGTCTGCGCCGTGAAAATTACATCAAGTGTTCCTCCAGGGTAGGAAGGTTAAAAAAGGCTGAGGAGTATGAATGCTTGTGGATTAAGATACCAGCGTTTTGTATTTCAGTTTTTGATTTAGTTATCCTTTCTATTACATTAATGTCCCTCAATAGTCTTCTAATGGTTTTCACCTAATTTTTTTAAATGCACATTTCCTTTTCTCATTACATAGGTCTCATTACATAGGTCTAGCAAAATACCAAGGCTAGGACCCAGCCTTTGGTGTATAGAGCAATGGTTATTCAACTTGAGCTTGGCTCCTGGTGACTACATAGACATATCCATGGAGTTTCTTGGCAACAACATGTAAGTGGATTTGGGGGCATTTCTTCTCAGCTTCCACTTTGACCTGCAGCCTTGAGATTTTTCACCCAAATGCTCGCTGATTAGTTTTTTCAAGATGACTCAGAGTCAGTTATTGATTTATTTATATTTATTTTCATTTTGAATTTCTCACTGCCCATCTCACTGCAGAGCAACTCTGGACAGTTTACAGTAAAAAGGATATTAAAATAGAATAAATATGAATTAAAATACATTACAAGAACAGTTATGTGTTGTCACCTTCTGTAGTCATGCAGAGTATTGTGACATAGTCTTTTTACTTGAAGACTCTATTTGGGCTTGTGAAATGTTTTGAGAAGACACATACAGAAAGTAGAGGGACGTAGAAGGGAAAGTGGATTGCCTGTGCAACCAAGCTCCCAGTTTGTAACTGTTTCCCTCCCCTTACTAGCATGTTGTGCTTCAGTCTGGCAAATGCATCTCAAGGCTCTGAATTAAAAATAAAGTAAATTCCACAAGTCAAACATTTGCTGTTTTCTGATATATAGATGGAGAGACTTGAGTAGCCCTTTTAAGCAGTGGCATACTCGGGAGGTGAGGGCAATCAAAGTAAAGTGTAGATCACACAAGTGCAACCACCTCTGTTACTTTTTTAGCCCCCACAAACATCTCTGAAATTATTTACAAGTTACTTAAAATAATTCTATCCTGCTTTTTCTATTCCAGAAGGTCACCCAAGATAGCTTAATTACAACATTTGAAATACTATGTAAAACAAGAGGGAAAAAAATTACAGAAATATCAGAAATATGTTAAATCAAGGCATAGAAGAAAACCATGGTTTTACCTTACATTGAAAAACCACAACTATCAGGGACAGGCAAATTTCAGATAGTAAGAAATTCAGCAATATGACAGCAGCAATGTTAACAATATCTTGCCTGCAAGACAAGAAGTACTCCCTGTAATTTATGCACAATAGATTCCATTAATTAATCACCAGCAAGGTATAATGTAGTTTTGTCTTAGTGTGTTGCATGAACAGCCACTGTAGTTTACAAATCATGATTTATGACTGATTAAATCATGGCTTATTGCAATGTGTGGACCAGATTACTTTCCCTGTACACTGATATTGAAAAAACTCCTAAGTATGTACAGGTTTGAAATTAATATAATCTCACCCAGAAATGTTTCTTTAATTAATCTGGCTTTATCTCTGAGTAGGTCTGAAATGGACTGCAGTGAAAATTCTCACATGCTGCTCTTGATGGTTTATTTTGAATATTTTTTGTTGATCAAGATTAAAACCATATTAAGAAGCCACTGTTGTTATAATAAATTTTAGTCCTGGCTATTGAATACTATTACAATATTCAATTATAATATTATTAGTATAAATAATATTATACTAATATTATTACATGGCCAAGACCAAATTTATTTTGTTCCCAAAAGAAACTGATAATGCCAGATCAAAATAAAGCCCTTTCATCATTCTACTCACAGTTTGGAATCCAACTTCAGAAGAAATCCCAGTTTGTCATATTCTGAAAGACAAAAGCAGATTTCAGATAATTTAGTAGGCTCATCAGTTATCCACTAGACAAAGAAAGCCTTTCATGAACATAAACATTTCTAACCTGAAAATGACAACATAGTCAATAAAGTAAAAAAAATGATTAATTAATGAACAAATTAATTAATAGAGTTCTGTAATTTCCATTATTAAATTTCTAAAATAAAAACTTAATCTGTTTCTGAAATATACCTCCCTCAGTTTAATCTAGACTAGTATTTCTCAACCTCAAAAACTTTAAGATATGTGGATTTCAACTTCTTCTCCAAAGAATTCTTGGAGTCCACACATCTTAAAGTTGCTGGGGCTGAGAAACATTGATCTATTACTAATTTTATATCTTACAAGTTCTCTGAACCATGCTTATTCCATGCGTGGCAACATATTTTGCAATTCCTACTATAATTATGAGCACAGAGATAATTAAAAAAAAATAAAACTATAAAATATGTTTCCTCGAGAATATACTACAAGGCTTCCTAAAAAAAGCTTATAATGGGAGTGAATATCCACTAATAAAGCAGCAGTATGAAACATCATAATTAAATTCATCCAACCATTGCCTTTTAACTCAGAAAGGATACAGAAGAAGAATATAACATGTTTACTGACAGCTTTCCACCTTTTTCCAAATAGCAGACTTTGATTTAACAAAGCTTTTAAACTGAATTCTGGCCAAATAGAAGTGGAAACAGTCCAGCTGTTTATTTCCAGTTTCTTTAAGTGTTGATGCATAATCCACAGACTGCATTTACATTTCCTCATCACCTCTCCAACTCAGTTTTCAAATGAATTCCATCACTTCCAGCACCCACCCACTAAAGAAATAAATGAATACAATTTCATTTTAACATTTGGAAATATCAATAGTGTTCAGTTTGGTTTGTATTAGGACACCTATCATATTTTAAATTTATGTATTCATTCTATTTATTCAATTATATGCCCACTACATAATTGCTGTAGGGTTTCTTTTAGATCATAACTGAAAAAAACAAATAATTAACAAAATTGTAAATGTACAAGACTGACCACAAATGTGGTAGATCCTTCTATCCACCTTCACTCCAGCTCCATATTATCCATGTATGGACATCTGTAGCAAGCCATGAAGACATCCAAATGATGATATATGCTTGATGCAAGTACATGATATCATTTGCTTCCCTTTGTCCTCCCCTTCTCTCCCCAGTATATCTATGCTCAGAGAGATAGAACAGTCAGGAAACAACTGAATTGATTCCCAGGCCACCAACATCATGTCCATAAAAGGCAAGGTGCAGCCTTATCTTTAAGAGCATACAATACACATAACAGCTGAGAATGGAAGTCCTGAACATTCTGAAATCAAATCTTTGATTGACAAGTATTACAGAATCTGCTACTTGCATCTCCTGACAATGGAATTCACAACAAGCCTAAAGAGATGGGGATACGCATGGATGGAGATCTCAAATATTTTTGGGGAGAAACATATGGTTTTTATATGTATTAACACATAATATATATTATATGTAATATAAATAAGCAGGTGCCCTAGGTATAGATTAAAAAAAGTTCTCGCTTATTTTGGTTCTTGAAATAATGAATAGAGATATAAGACAAGATGAGAGGATTGTGGGAGTAAAGATTCAAAAAGAAATTTATAAGTTAAGGGCTTTTGCGGATGACTTGGGGTTGGTTTTAGAAGATCCTTTAAAGGGAATTGAAACATTAATGGGAAAACTAAAAGAATTTGGTACATTAGCAGGTTTTAAGATCAACAAGCAGAAGACGAAGATGTTAACAAAAAACATGAAAATAGAGGATCAAACCAAACTGATGAATAAAACGGGTTTTAAGATTGAGAAGAAAGTAAAATATCTGGGTATCACTATGACAATATGAATTGTATGTTATTTCAAAATAACTATGTTAAGACATGGAATGAAGTTAAAAAAGACACATTAAGATGGGAGAAGCTACAATTGTCATTGCTGGGGAGAATTTCTGTGATAAAAATGAATGTCTTGTCTAGTATGATGTTTTTGTTTCAGACAATACCTGTTTTGACAACTGATGCACCATTTAAACAGTGGCAAAAGGATATATCTAAGTTTGTGTGGCAGGGGAAAAAACCATGAGTTAAATATAAGCTGTTACAAGATGCAAAGGAAAGAGGAGGATTGGGTTTACCTGATTTGAAATTGTATTTTGCAGCTTGCTGTTTGGTTTGGATGAAAGAGTGGGTGCTGCTGAGAAATAGGCTGTTTGGTTTGGATGAAAGAGTGGGTGCTGCTGAGAAATAGGCTGTTTGGTTTGGATGAAAGAGTGGGTGCTGCTGAGAAATAGAAGGCTTTTGGAGTTAGAAGAAAATGACCTGAGATTTGTGTGGGATGGAAATCTGTGGTACAATAAAGCCAAGGTTAATGTCGATTTTAAAAATTGTTAGGTGTGTCATATTAAGCATATGGAATGGATACAAACCCAGGTTCTGCCCAAAATCGTCTTTGTGGCTCTCAGCAAAAGAAGCATTTTATAGACAAGAAGTAGTAGGCAAACACAAACAGTTAACTTATCGTGAGATACTAGAATTTTGTCAAGGGGAATACAAAATAAAATCAAGAGAACAACTGGTGGCAGAGGGATATAGTTGCCAATGGTTTTCTTATTTACAGTTATTAGGTTAACTTATCGTGAGATACTAGAATTTTGTCAAGGGGAATACAAAATAAAATCAAGAGAACAACTGGTGGCAGAGGGATATAGTTGCCAATGGTTTTCTTATTTACAGTTATTAGAAAGATTTAAAGTAGACAAAAGAGTTTATGGTTTTGAACATTTTAAGACTGAGTTTGAAATAGAATTGTATACAAATGATGAACATGTAACTGCTAAAATTTATACATTTTTATTGAAATTTGAAAAAGAAGAAGTGAAAGAATGCATGAAAAAGTGGGCTAAAACTTTTGGTTATAATATACAGATGGAACAATGGGAAAATATGTGGTTGAAAGGATTGAAATTTACATTGTGTTATAACCTTAAAGAGAATTTTTATAAAATGATATACCGTTGGTATATGACACCAGATAAATTGTCTAGAATGTATAAAGGCACTTCAAATTTATATTGGAAATGTGAACAACAAGAGGGGACATTTTATCATGCTTGGTAGATGTGTAAAAAATCTAGAAAATGTTGGATTCAAATATATACACTGATTCAGAGGATTTTAAAGATTAATATACAATTGAGACTAGAAATCTTTCTTTTGGGACTGATGATGGACAAACAGTTGGAAAAAGTCATGGAACTTTGTTTTTGTATATTATAACTGCAGCAAGATTATTATATACACAAAGATGAAAAGATTCGGCATTACCCACAATGAAGGAATGGATGGAGAAGATGATGGAACTTGCTGAGATGGCCAAACTTTGATCAGAGAAAAGACAATATCTATGTATACTGCTGACTGGAAACCACTTATGGACTTTTTGTATAAAACAGAAAAAAATGAACTTATGATTTATGGTTTTGATGATTAGACAGGATAGATTAT